CTTTCACATGATACAAATGAATCACATGATATGATCCGGATCGAATTCTATATCACGTGAGACTACCCGGCTTTAGTGGACCCCCAAATTAGGAATCAATCTGTGGCTTGTGGCTTATATCAGGGGTAAAACTCATATTGAAATTTGGTTCGAGAAAAGTGGTCCCACTTCCCTAATTTCTTGACTTTGCCCATCACATGATGATCATTATAAATAATCGATTTTATTTACAGTGAACAGTGTTAACACGAGATGAATTCTAAAACTCATGAATGTAGTAAATGTACTTTTTGTCAAGATGATGTCTACTGCAGAAAATGTTCAGAATGTCACTATCAATTATATGAAGCCGAATGGTCTAGCAAAAATAAAGATATCGACAATTTAATAAGTGAATGCATGAAAATTGTTAGATTTTTCGAATGGATCCCATTTGAAAGATTTACCAAAGTTGAATATCTTGCAAAAGGAGGTTTTTCGACGATTTATAAAGCAACCTGGTTGGACGGACCGTTAAAAGATGAGTGGGATCATAAAGAAAATAAATTTAAACGATATAAAGAAACCGAAGTAGTGTTGAAATCGTATGGTTCAAAAGAAATTACTTCGGAGTTCATAAATGAGGTAAAATGAACTATTTTCTGTAATCAAGCAGACTTTATGTTTCTAATTCAAGTAAACTTTTCAAAATAGGTTCAAACTGCTCTAAAGTGCTGTACTATTAAATATTATGGAGTAACTAAAAATCTAACTGCAAATGAATACTTGATAGTGATGGATCATGCGAAAGATGGGGACCTTCGCAAATATATTAATTTAAATTACGGAAAATTGACTTGGGAAGAAAAATTAAGATATTTAATTGATATTATCGATGGGCTGCTTACAATTCACGACAAGGGACTTGTACATCGTGACTTTCATCCTGAAAATATACTAATATCAGATGGTAATGCTCGAATTGCCGGTTTTAGACTTACCGGCCCAGCTTTTCTAAAAACCACTAATCAAGGAATGCCTGGAGTACTTCCTTATCTTAGTCCAGAGGTGCTAGATGGAAAGCCATACACTCAAGCTGCAGAAATTTATAGTTTTGGGATGATTATGTACGAGGTTGTAACAGGCGAACGACCATTCGGCGAGCGTAATCATGATAAATATATCGTATTAGACATCTATAAAGGAGTGCGACCTGAGATACTAAATAGCATTCCCGGATGGTGTAAATTTATTATTGAAAAATGTTGGGATCGTATTCCAGAAAACAGACCATCTGCTTCGGAACTTTACGAATTTATCAATTCAATCTACACGCACTATTCAACAGACAACAAATTGCACACATCGGATGTTCAGCACAAGTTGAACACTTTGCATTTTCAGTTCTACAGCTCTATAGAATTTCCTAAAACAGAAGAAGAGATATATGAGTGTCTTAAATTAGAAGTGCAGAAGTTAAATGATCTTGATGAGGAGAGGATTATTTAAAATGATATAGGTATATTTTGTCTCTGATTATGACGTATTGACGGTTGGTATTATTTATAAATTTATATTGAATGTTAGGATCACAAGTGTTTCGAACGAAGGTTGGTGAGACGTTTCAATAAAATTAAGCCAATTTTATAAAAGTCCAAGCATTAGAGATCATAATCCTGACGGAATCTTTGAATCGATATTAACTATGAGTCTAGTTGCATAAATACCAAAAGTAGTTTCTATCATTTATTAATTTCTCCATATTTACATCTTCTCAAATTTGTTTTATTCATTTCTCTTTTACGTGTATTTAGGGTCATATTAAATAAAAAATTAACCTCTTATATTTCATTTATCATAACCCTGATCGACAGGATTCATTTTGACCAATAAGATTTATCGGAGGAAAGTCCCATATCTCTTCGTTGAAACAACAAATTACATTTCTCTTACTAGCATACTGGCCTCTTTCCATTATTTACATTAATTGGATAGGGACTTGAAACAAATTTTTCAAAGATCGATTGAATTTCTTTTGCAGAACTAGCATCTGCACTTTTTCAATTCTACGTGACAAAAGATTTGTCACAATCATTCGTGAATCCTGAAACGGACCAAGAAATGGCAATTCAAGCACAGCACCACTATATATTCGGTATGGCAAGAGAAAAATAAAGATCAAATTTTCAAATCTGAATAATAACTTTGTTTTTTAGTGTTCTTTTCTTATCATATACTTCTATTTTCTGAGCATCACAGCTTTCAAGTTGGACATTAAAATCACCGCCAGGTTGTGATATCAAAGCATCCTGATACCAACAATCATGTACCAAAGGATTCCAGTTTTAAAGAAGAAAATACTTGAAGGATAGAAACAAAGGAGCAGTCCTGGTTGTTACAGAAGAGACTAAATAATAATCGTCTATAATTCTCCTAATAACTCGAATGGTCAATAACGTCGACCGAATCCACATTTTTGGAGTCTCATGTTTTTGACATCACTCTTATTTTTCCATTCCACAATCAAAATTTTATATTCTTTGAAATCGAGACATGCCATCTTCACTTCTTTGAATCCAATAACAGTAAAAGCATTGCCCGTGATCGATAAAAGACGCGATTTGTCATATAATGTTTTCCAAGTAAAGTTATGATGTTTCCTCATGAATCTTTACCCCATAGATATATAGCACTATGTTATTTAGACACGGTTTCTTTCTGATCGACCCTCACATGCCAGACCAATGATTTTTATTTGCAAATGGTCAACTGATTAATTAAAATCAGAATTATTATTGAGCGAACGTGTATTATTATCCGACTAATTCGTTATCATAATTTTACAATAATTCTAAGATGCTTGTATAACGTAACATAGCTTTTCAAGTTTACCATTAGTAAATTAAATAAATAAATAAATTAATATATATATATATATATTATATATATAAAAAACATTGCCATCCGTTTAATCCTGATCGAATCTAAGCGTAGTATGACACATCTGATTTGTTCGCAGAACACGTGCCGTTGCTTGAATCTCCATTTGCCCAAAAAATAAAGAAAATTCTATATCTTGTTTTCGTCTTTGAGGATCTAGTGGAATATCTGTCATATACGAGAAATCATTAATCATCAATAACCAAGATGAAAACGCTTAGAATCAAATCCCATATCAAAGAAAAAAACCAACCTATCTCCAATAGTCCCAACCGTGTCAACCCATCACAGTATAACTCATTTTCATTACTTGTAGTATATACAGGAAACGAGACACGCGTCTGGTTAGGATGATTTGTAGAATACTTATTTTTGAATTCTTGATTGACGTCTACTTTATCTCCACACGTTGCTAATTTGTCGAATGCTCTTACGCGGCCATCTGGTTCTCTACGTGAAAGACTATCTTTGTTTCGGTCCCATTGTCTGTAACATTCTATGCCGTATGTCCATTTTAATACACGTGATTTCACAGAACTCTCATTAATGCCTATTAATTAAATATACGATGGTTACCAACCATACAAGAAATCTCTCTGATGCAATCGAACGTAAAAAAAAATACCACTTACCATACTAAGGAATTATACAGATCAAGGAATTATTTAATGTTAGACATAGATTCAAGCATTTATACCAAATACAATAATGTTAATCTAAACAACTTACTAAAACAGCACCACGAACGATAGCGGTAACAGCCTGATGCGGTGCACAAATCATCGTTGATGGCGATTCAAATCTTTCCTTCACTTTTTTTAACAAATACGGTGATTCCCCGAAGCCACCACATAAAAATATCGCCTGACATCTAACTGGTGAAGCATCAATCTGTTTCTGGATCAACGAGATGATGCCATCCACAACCGGCCGGAACATTGATTCTACGGCATCAAAATCAAGCGGAATTCGCCATTGATCCTGTTCTAGCTGCGGTCGCAGTTGTGAGGTGACATATTGTAACGAGGCGGGACAGTACTCGTCAATATCCAAATATTTTGTTGTGTAATCCTGCCGATTACCCGTAAATGCTATTTTTATTTGTCGCACGAAGAAATCTTGAATCAAATATTGTAGCTGATTGTAGTGATTATCTTGTAGACTACGAACTGTTGCTATTCCAATTTTTCGGGCCAAAAATTTTAAGAATTCCCTGTTAATCATAAAATAATTAGAATATGAATTTAAGCATACGCATGTGTTCTCCATCACGTACCTATCAACATAAGTGCTCCCACAATAACCCCCTGTACGCATCGTAACTTCACCAATCTGTCTTCCTGGCAATAATATTCTTGTTGTTAAATCTACTGTACCACCTCCACAATCCACGATCATATACGGTTCTAATAATTGTATTAGATAAAATTATTTGATCAAACTTCATATTATTATTTCGCGTGAGGAAAGACAAAAAATTACCGTTATCCCTTAAGTGGTAGTTGTTAACGTAATGTAGACAATAAATGGCTGCTGCTTCCGCTAGAAAATAACCACAAGCATTAATAATAGTCAAACGTAATGAATACTAACTTCAGAAAAAGAATTCTTTTAATTTACGTTCTGTGGTGAATGTTAAATTTTCTGAATGTTGATTATTTATTAATCCCGCTTCAAAAGCACATTTTCGCATAACAGATTTTGTGTTTTCAATGAATTCCGCAGGTACAGTTATTACAATTTCCACATCTTTGTAGAAATCAAGATTTGGCCAATTTTGCTCCAATCTGGCTTTGATCATCTAAAAATTAAATCGAATTTATTTTTTTTTCTCTCTTAACGGAAAGGAAGAATAATCAACGAAAAATAATTACTTTTCCAAGCTCACGAAGATAATCCGTGATTGCTTTCTGATAACTTAATCCGGCCGGTAAAATTGGCTTCTCATCTTCCGGGATATCACCTAAATGTAATTTAAACAATTCTACCGGTTTTTTATCCTTTACTTGATCTTGACCTTTATTTTTCAAAACTGGTTTTTGTGATAACGCTGGATAACCCCAATTTGTGACATTCCAATTACTGTCATACTCTAATGCAGTATTCGTCTTGAATTGTCCATAACGTCCAGGCCTGTGAAAGTTTTAGTTGATAGTTTTATTAAATTTTTATCTTACTTAAGAAAAAAAAAACGAAACATTTACCATGTAGAATTTGTCTCGATATTGTTAATATTTATTTGTTCATTGTTCATAGGTCGAGGACAAAAAGCAAATCCACCTATAAAATTATTAAACGCTAATTTAGAAGATCTGACTCAGGATGCTCAGCTTTTTTCTACAATTCACGCTTACTTTCTGTCGTTCCAAAATCTAATACATATATAGAAAAAAAGGATTAGCGATTGTATTAATTTGTAAGAATCGTGAAATCTGAATATCATTCACCTATCCCAACTACCATCTGAGTTTTTCTTCTTTTATTCAATGCCAACTCTAGTACCCGATGAGTTTGTGGAGGACTCTCTTGCTTATGGGGAGTCTGAGTCTGCATATTCGGCATAGGGGGGTAGGGGGGATAATTAGGCGGATAATTAGGAGGAGGAGGCGGAAATTGTGCTTGTAATGGTGGTGGTTGCGGTGGTGTTAGTGGTGGTGGTGGTGTTTGTGGTGGTCCTATATTATAATGTCCCTGAGGAGGAAACTGTCCTGGTTGATACTGTCCTGGATGTAATTCGTAGTCTGTTACTATCGGTGGGATTCCTCCCGTTGGAGGTCTTGGATAGGTACCAATAGGTGATGGAGTTGCCGCCATTGCTGGAGGGTTGTTTCCCGCAGGAGCGTAATCCGGTTTGCTATCGCAGCAGCCCATTATTGTTTATTTTTTTTTTATTTTTTATAAATGGATTCGTTTCTGTCTTATTGTGTGATATAGATTATAAACTGAAGGTGGAAATTGCATTAATATTTTTTGTTGGTCTTTTGGATATCGAGACTCCAAAAGCTCTTTGTTTTTACTAATCATGCCAAAGAATATAAAAATAGTAATTAATAATGATTTATTTATACCGGTAGCTGCTGCCTTTGTGTTTACAACTTTAGATTTCATTATATTGTTTCACGTTAACCAAATACAACGTACATGCATACATGAAACTCATTACCATTATCTTATTTCCAAGTTTGGATTTTTCAATTTTTAATTTCAAAATAAAGAAAATTTTTTAGTTTCTTTAGGAATATTCCCAGGCGTGAAAATAAATCCCGGCTTAATTTACACATATCTAAAAGGTTAACTTCAATGTCAACTCATCATCGTTCTTAATCTAGGGTTTGCGACGTGAAGTAGTTTTGCCTGCATATCAATAAAAATTCGTGTCGTATATCCATTCTAACGCACCGAGGTTTCGTTAATTAACGATATCGAAAATATATTTTCAAAAGTTTTATAAGAAATCGGAAAATTTTAGAGATCTTTTGATCCGTAACACTCAACCAAATACGAATCAACGTGCCTAAATATTGAAACGCACGTAAATTACAAAGTCTTCCGCTATAAAATAACGAAACAAAGTTTTTTTAATTTACGTATCTAGCGAGTGAATAATGAATTGAATAAAAATAAGATTTTTGCTCAAAACAAATAAACATTAATTCCATATCACATAAGAAAATCAGTAATCTAAGCGAGCCCGTAATTAAAAGTAGATTTGGTAAGTCAACATTTTAACTGTCCCCTATATTTATTTCAGTACAATCCGCACGGAAATGGTAGCGAAAAAATTTTTACCATATACATGTAATTCTAAATGAATGTATCTACAACCATTGAAAATCACAATAGATATTCCGGGTCTGGGCAGAAATTTGATACATGTAAATTATGATGGCATAATTTGACTCGCGATTACGCAAAAATTTTATCAAGTCAACGAGTCTTTGCACATTAGTAAAAAGATGTTCAACTTAAAAAAAAAATTGCAATATTTATGAAATAAAGAAAATTGAAATAACCTTATTAGTAATAGTTATGATTTTTTTATAGAATATGATGCCCATACTTAGAGACGTTCTAGAGATAAATTTTTTTGTGTAGTTGTCTTTTACCTGAATTTTAAAAAACTAACCATCATTACATTCCGTGCGGAAGAATAGCCATCGCTTTCCGATTTTACTAGCCATTACTCGGTGTCTCTTCTAGCTTTTTTATATGAGATATGGGCACCTAATTAATTTTCGTTTTATCTTTTTGGTAATTTTAGAAACTGATTTTGATAATCCAAAATATTTTTTTTACATCAATTGCAATATCGATATGATTTAGTCTATCTCCGTGTACTCTCGCGTGTAAATGTCAATTATTAATCAAGCCAAGCAAGAAATAATATTACACGATCGATTAAATAAGAATCAAATTTCAACCTAGATTTTAACGATAAGATAACGTATAAAAATCAAGGTTCGATTTCGAGACACCCGTAAAGTCTATCGGTACTAAGAAATTTTGCGTCATAAATCCTACTTCAAGCATGCTCAATGCAACATGTACATGTATAACACAGATACAAAATGTAGTGTAGCTTTTGCTACACCAGGATAAATTTAGCGCATCAATGATGATACATGTAAAAAGTAACGGATGATTCTATTATACACACTTTTGTCGTTCTTAACTTGAACAACTACGTACAAATAGTGACTAGTACCAATAAATAAATATAAACGACAACACACAATTATTAATAAAACAATAAATCGCCATAATAAAAAATGTCGGTAAACCGTGGAATTACAGAAATATCACCGGCATCGACATCAACAGAAACCACCACAAATACCAATTCCAATTCCAATTATCTGCCACCTATTTCATCCTCATCCTATGAAATTTCAACGTCGTTTCTCGATCCAAACAAACTTTCATTTCTCGAGAATGATAGAGAAGATTATCTTGAACAGTTAAAAGAGCAAGCTGAATCCGATAAGCTACAACAGAATCCTGGTTCGAACCGACAAGACATATCATCGTTTGACTCTAATGCCGTTTCAAGTTATTTATCGGCCACTACTCGCAGTACTATCTCGAATGATCAAACACCACTTTCACAACCTTCGTATGCTCAGCAACTTCAATCCAAAGCAATCAATAATTCGTCATTTATTCGGGACGGATCTCAACATAATGCAATTCTCAACAATGACAAAATTAAAAGTGAAAACATTATTAATAATATTACTAATAATACTAATAATAATGTTACTAAAAATAATGCTGGAAATGATAACACAACAGCTGCAGCAGCGGCAAATGCACAATTTGCTTCCGATATCAAAATACTTCAATCCTCTCTGAAACAATTTACGAACATGAAAGCGCAAGACATAAAATTTCATCAACCTCAAGTCAACTCGTTATTTCTAAAATACAAATGTCGTAGCATACAAGAAAACGGGATCCCTCCATTAGTTCTAAGCGGCGCATTACAACGCTTAATCATTGAAACTATATTCGAAGAGACCGCCAGATACATAAATCATGATACAAAAAAATCGAGGTTACTGTCATCCGCTTCTTCCACCTCAATTTCAAGAGATAGCAGCCATCACAGTAATTTAGAGTCAGAAATTATTAATACCACAAACAATTTAATTCTTTTGACGACTCTATTATCAGAAAATCTAGAGAAAACAATCCAATCAAATCCTAATTCAAAAGCACCGATCACAAATCACACAAGTAATATGATTCGAAATCTCCCAAATGTCATACGACAACAAACAGCATCAGCATTACGCGAAGCAGCATTCGCTGATGATCAACATCCGTTCCTGCAAAGTACCTCGAAAAAAGTGTTGGATATTTTGAATGTGTATCGGGATCTTAAAACGGATGCATCCGTATTAAGGCAGCAGGCGGTTGAGGTTGTTAAACAAGTTGTGAGGGTGTTGTGGTTTGGGATCCGGGCACAAGAGAAAGTACCAGAATTAATATTTTTCGAGGCTGGTGATGAGCTGGATGTGGATTTGATGGATGGAGAGTTTGATGAAGATGATTTGGATACTGATGAGGTGAGGTTTATTTTTCATCGTTATATCTATCGATATGAAACATGATCATGCTGTATTAATTTTTATTTCCTTTTCCCTACAAAGGTTGAAATTTGTTCTTTTCCGTTGATTGCAACGGACCCAACAGATGACGAGAATCGAATTGTAATCGCAAAAGCGATAATCAAAAAACGACCAGTAAAAACAAATCGAGGTGTTAGTAGACATTCTGCTGCCTCTGAAAGTTATACATCTTCAATGGGAATTCAGAATGAGTATTCCTTCAACGATGCTTAGGAGATTTATATATATATATATATATATATTTACTATATATTTATTGCGAGATAGACTGTTTTAAAATGTTTTTGAATCATTTTAGTGTGATTTTTTACTTTGTTTTATATGCGTTGCCTTATTCAAACAACCAAATAATCGCAGTAAACGCAACTCAAACCACTGCAACTTTCGATAATTGGGAATAAATTCTTTTCTAGAACTTGTAACAATGATTTAAGCTGTAATAAACTTTTAAATTCTTGATAGTATTTGTGATTGGGAAATTTAAATTCGATATTTTATCAATATATGATTAAAAAGAAAACTATTTTTTTACTATTTGAATTACCTCATAATCAAGAATATCAAAAAAATTTTGAGTTGAGTCAGAGCTCAAAATACCAAATTCATACGACATTTTCTTGCAATAATTGCGACCAGGGTACCAATTAGAAAATAATACTAAATCACTTCCACTCCCGAAAATCGGACCACACTCAGTAAAACAGCCTATACATCGATCTGTTTTTGAACCTCCTGAAAAGTCGCTTTTGACTCCGAAACGATCGTTTGAATTATCAAATTGAAAAAGAAAACTATTGATCGTATCAAAGTTTTTATAGCTAAGATCATGTGAATTCCATTCAAAAGAGTTATATCCACCAATAATTTTTTCAGAATCTTTTATACGAACAACCACCACTGTCGGTCCTTTCTCATCACATAAGTCGTGAAAATCTTTAGGTGTAAAACCATCTCGACTACCTCTTAATAATAAATTCAATTCAGGTGTCTCATTTTTTCTAGTTTGTCTTTTAATCCACCATTCAATTCTTTTTAGTTGATTCGGTGAGAGGATTGTACTAATATTATTTCGAGCAGGCCGCAGTTTTACCTGGTGGTCTTCACTTCCAGGCACCAAATAATGATGTAATAAATCTTTATATAATTTCTTAGTTAACAGTTCCGAGTATGGCATCACTTTGTTGTAGAAATCAACAGAGTTGATGTGGAAGAATCGAATTAGAGGTAAGCAATTTGTGAGAGTTGATTGAAGTTGATTAAATTCTTTTAGCGACCATTGCTCTGGTGGGATTCTCAAATTAATTTCGTCGTCGTCGTCGTCATCAATCGAAGCCTGAGCTATTCCCCATTCAAGCACTTTTTCCCAAATAAAAATTTCGTCAAGACCTAGATCATCTCGTTTTAGCAAGGAAACTAGTGCAGTTTCTTGAAGCTTAGTGAAGTCACTCGATTGAAACACAGTAGCGGGATTTTTATAGGTAGCATCGGTGCAAAATTTATGGAGTTTAGTAAAAGAGTTGTGTTCAAATACAATTTGATTAACTAAGGCAAAATTCTGCTTCATAGATTCGGAATGGTGTTCTACAAGATAGCATTGAATGTATTCAACTAAATTAAGAAGAATTAATTCGTCGGCGGCGACTAATAAATCCAACAGAGTTGGCACTCCATGATCGTTCAATTCAATTTTTCCGCTGTACATATATCTGCATGCAACAATGTATTCTTTAGTTTTTTATCTTTTTCATCATTGTTCCATCCGAGAGTATAAATAAATGCTATCGCTACCTTAATAAGATTTTAAAAATACGTGGCAAGATATTTGGTTTTTGGAAGACGATCAATTTATTTGGTTCTCGTTTTACCCATGCATCCGAAAGCGCCACTGCAAAATATTTTGACTGTGCCATCAAAATCGCTGAATGAGCCGAGAAGGTTTGTTGAGAATTTGCGGAATCACCAACAATGATCGAAACATCATTGTTACTCGAATTTTCATAAAATTCTAGCATTTGATTTGAATAAGCGCTTAAAAGTGATTCGGGTGTCATTTTTGCTTTGGACAGGATTGTACGCAGTAAACGATACGATAAACGTTAAGATCTACTGTATTTTGAAGAGTAGTTCGAAGAAAGTAAGTTTTTCGTGAATTGCAACTTGTACATATCGATATGTATGTAGTGCACGGGTTTTTCTGTGCGTTTATTGGATATACATGTACTGAACATGTAGTTTTGATTTACATACGTATATTAACACACGTACGCGTATCGAATTATTTAAATTAAAAGTATTACAAATATTTTAAAATCTGGAATTAATTATTGGATTCCAGAGCATAACTTGGAGTATTATGCCATAGTATAATCTGGAGTATTACTTTAGGTTAGGTTGCTTGCGTCATTGTACCCCAACGAATGGTTGTTATTTTCACATGTTTATGATCAGATTTTTGTCAATTTTATATTAAAATTTTAAAGAAATACATAGTGATTTCAAGAATGATATCTCAATACCTATGAAAATACCACTATTTGATGTCTAGACATGATGAATTGAATGGTGATATTTTTAACCAACAGATTTTATATGGCCATAAAGCGAGAACATTTTTCAAGAGAACTTGCGGCTAAATTTGGTTTAAATTATCAGCATTTAAGTTCCAATGGTCAGTGGCAGAAATAATTGGGAAAAGGGATATCATATTTTTTTGTTTGTGTCATAATATCGCCATCGCATCATAATTATTATTTTAAAATAACATGCAAATTATGATTAGTTTTTCTTTATAATTTATTGTAGTATTAGAAATGAATTTGCTTTTCAGCCATAATAAATAAATTAATTTTCTAATAACAATTAACTTTATTATACTATCTAATCTATATTATATGTAATTAATATAATCTTTCAAAATCATGAGATTAAAAAAATATTGTAAAAATATTTTTAATTTATAAATAAATATTTTTATAATTTCATATTAAAGTAAATTTAATAATCTATAATTTATATGATTTAATATAAAATTTTGATAAATATAATATCTATAGTTTGTAAGTATAATAAATAAAATTATAATAAATAATGTTCTGAATGATTTAAATTCTGATTTTAAATAAATAAAAGTCTATCTAAATAATATTTTAAATATATAAAATTCTGAATAAATTATTTTAAATAAGTGATTAATATTTTAAATAAACAAAATTTTGAATAAAAAATGAATAAAATTATAAAATAATAATATTCTAAATATAAAACATTAAAATTATCATAATATTAATATTTTATATATATATTGTAATTTAGAATTTCATTTATTTAAAAAATAAGATTTATTTAGAATATTATTTAATAAAATTTAATTCAATATGTAGAAATATAAGTCTTTAAGTTATTATTACCATAGTAACATAAAATTTCTTAATTTCTTAATCTTTCCCTGGTTATGCAAAATTGCATATTTCTATATTTTTCATTTATTTTATAAATATCCCTATTTTTATATTATATATTACTATATTTATTATCACATT